TGCTAAATTAGAGACGGCTAGCGCAGATAGCCCTCGTGTAGCTTTGCGCGAAATTCAAAAACAGAAATAAATATTATTTGAAGCGCTTACTTTTAGTAGAATGAAACAAGAAAAAATCAAAGTATTTAAACAATGTATAACCTTATTATAATATGAGACTGGAGAAACTGAAATATCTTATATACTCTGGCATATCGCTTACTCTTCTAACATGAAAATTATTGATTTCTATAAGAGTGTTCTGGCAATGATGACGTGTAATTTAGAAAAAAAAAGTCAGCGGGTCAACTAACTTGGTAACATGATCGTTGATATTCGTCTCAGAATTCCGATTGTCTTTATAGGGATTTTTCAATACAATAACATATACCTATATCAGGAAATAAAAACGTCATGATATGTAAATGCTGTCCACAGTTTAATACGTAAATGTACAGTTCGTACGCTTAAATTCTACACGGTGTAACTGCTATCCCGCTACAAGTGTTACTGCGCATGTCATGCTCACAACTACAGAACAGTGGCACTTAAAAACTCCTCCCAGTGACGTAATGGGGCCGTACATTCATATAAAGAACTTACACAGATCCTGATACTCAATAAGAAGATTTCGCTGAAAGTCCTTACCATCCACTCTTCTCTACTCAACTATCCCATCTCAGACTTACTGACCAGAAGACACCTGAGTCCACGTGCTCTGCTTTCACACCTCAAAGTTCTTCTTCAACACGGTACGATTTTACTGATGTTTAATCATTGTCACAGATTTTTTAAATATAAACTATAAATATGGACATACCTATTAAGTAAGAATATGGTCTCTTCATTAGAAAATTAAGACAAATACAATTAACTGTATAACGGATTCAATCTAGTTGTTTAATTTTTTTTAACTGTTTATTCATTATCAATGGATAGACATGAAGACACCTATTCTATGAAATGCTTTTACCTGATGCTTTCTTGTAGTCCTCATATCATGTTACATGAGATATGGATATATTCTATAATTCATATAGCTGACTACTTTGTTTGTTGCTAAGCGCAAAGGTACTCTGCGAGTATCGAAAGCCAAATTTTAGCGTTGTAAACCCTCAATCGTAACATTGAGACATCGAATCGATTACTTATTTTGATTGAAACACTCATTTTGATGTAAAATTGGATCAAAAATAAATTTTAGATCCACTATTAAGGCACAACAAGTTTGTACGGATACAAGTTTCAAAACCTTCTCCAGTACAACTTTTAGACTGCGGTATGTCTGCGGACTTACGACGCTAGGAACCGAGTTTCGATACTCGTAGTGGGCGGAGCACAGATAACCCATTGTGTAGCTTTGTGCTAAACTTCAAACAAACAAACTTTTATATTATTTTATACCATATTGTATTTCCTTAGTATTAAAATATTATTTTACTTACCAATACTTTTACTTGTACATGGTATCTGTCCATGAGAAACTCCAGATAATCTGATCACTCCTGGGTTAATATCTAAGATTTTCGTCTCGAAAGCGCTATATTGAGCATTTCATCTTTTTAGTAGCTATGTGATCTCACGTTTTTTTTTTAAATAGTGTTCTGATAATAGAAGTATTGGTTATAAATGTTACATAGTATCTTATCAGAAACTGTTTCAACTTCATCCTGACGTATCTATTCATAAAGTATATGCATTGCGGTTCTTTTAAGTATTCAGAAACATTTAAATTGGTGCACCAGATGAATTTAGCCTTGCAAACCAGACTTTAAATATAACATTATAGATGAATATGTAGTATATGTTACTTTACAAAGCGCTTATGGAAGTCTATCAGAGTTATCCTGGTGTGAACCCAATAAGTTCACATACCGAGGTGATGATCACGTTTTAATTTATTCGAGTTATTTTCACAACTTTTAAGATGCTTTCTCGAATATTTTTTGTTTTGTTTTCGATAAAAGCTTTAGAGGGTAGGAGAAATTATTAAATTTGAAATAGTATCACAAATTCTATCAAGTGTTATATTAACACCAGAAATTTGAATTAGGGTTAAGAAGTTGCAATTAAAACACCCAAAATATCAATCATTCACAAGCCCAATACACGAGCACACGACTCGAAGAAAATCTAGTAGATTTTAACCATATTCCAGTTAAACCTATTTAAGTCAGTGATATTCCGAAGAAGCTGAGTTTAAGGTGTGTTTAATGACTTGTAAGGCATTAAATAACTGGCTCTTCTCATCTCTTCAAAACGTTGTTTTTTATCATTGCTGAACGTGATTAGGAATATTAATTTGTCATATAAGCGACTAGTTTTATAAATCACATATAATAGAAAAACAAGTGAAATTTAACCTCCTTCTTATGTACAAAAATAATCGTCGTAGATGAACTGTATGATAAACAGAAAACACAAGCATGCATGAGTTGAAATAAACGCAACAAACTGATAGCGCTGAACTCAAAACAACAGGAGCTGTGTGATATGATGTCTACGGACAGTATGTTATGCATGAAATGAAAGAAGCAAATTAGTTATGCTTTTTTTAGAGAAACAAGGTGGGAAAACACATGAAAGATGGAAACACAATGTGCCGATTGAAATACTTTACTTATAACCTTTCATTGAATGGAGGTTAGAAGTACTACAAACAATCATTGTATGGGAGTCAAAAGTACTACATGCAATCATTGTATTGGAGTCACAAGTACTAAAGACAATCATTCTTGTGAGTCAGAAGTACTACAAACAATCATTGTATGGGAGTCAAAAGTACTACAAACAATCATTGTATTGGAGTCACAAGTACTACAAACAATCATTGTATGGGAGTCACAATTACTACAAACAATCATTGTATGGGAGTCACAATTACTACAAACAATCATTGTATGGGAGTCAAAAGTACTACATGCAATCATTGTATGAGAATCAAAAGTACTAGATACAATCATTGTATTGGAGTCACAAGTACTAAAAACAATCATTCTATGCGAGTCAGAAGTACTACAAACAATCATTGTATGGGAGTTAGAAGTACTATAGAAAATCATTGTATGGGAGTCAGGAATATTACAGGTATTTATTGTGTAAGAGTCACAATTACTACAGATAATCATTCTATTGGAATCAGAAGTACTATAGACAACTATCGTATGGGAGTCATAAGTACTATAGAAAATCGTTGTATGGGAATGAGAAATGTACTACATATAATCATTGTATGAGAATGAGAAGTACTACAGATAATCACTGTATGAGAGTTTGAAATATTACAATCAATTATTGTATAATAGTCAGAAGCACTCCAGATAAACATTATATGGGAATGAGAAATATTACAATCAATTATTGTATAATAGTCAGAAGCACTCCAGATAAACATTATATGGGAGTGAGAAATATTACAATCAATTATTGTATAATAGTCAGAAGTACTCCAGATAAACATTATATGGGAGTGAGAAATATTACAATCAATTATTCTATAATAGTCAGAAGCACTCCAGATAAACATTATATGGGAGGAGAAATATTACAATCAATTATTGTATAATAGTCAGAAGCACTCCAGATAAACATTATATGGGAGTGAGAAATATTACAATCAATTATTGTATAATAGTCAGAAGTACTACAGATAAACATTATATGGGAGTGAGAAATATTACAATTACTGTATAAGAGGCAGGAATACTACAGATAAAAAATTTTTTGCTGATAAGATTCAAGACACTTGAGACTCTGTTCCTATAAATGGAACTTAACATGGCCAGGTGATTAGAGCGCTCGACTAGCAATCTATGGTTTGCTGGTTCGAATCCCTGTCCCACCAGATATGCTCGTCCTTTCAGCCGTGGGGACGTTATAATGTGACAGTTATTCTCACTATTCGTTGGTAAAAGAGTAGTCCAAGAGCTAGCGGTGGGTGGTGGCGACTACTGGTGTTCAAATACAGATCTTTAACACTGAGTGTGCACAACATCTTCAATTTGGTAAACATTCTTTCAAGAAGTGTTGTTAGTTTATAAAAAACTTGACGAATTAGAAAGCTGCGTTGATTTATAACTTACGAATTAGACAGCTACGTTGATTTATAACTTACGAATTAGAAAGTTGCGTTAATTTATAATTTTATTAATTAGAGAGTTGCGTTAATTTATATATTTTATTACTTAGAGAGTTGCATTAATTTATATATTTTATTAAATAGAAAGCTGCGATGATATATAACTTATTAATTAGAAAGTTGCGTTAATTTATATATTTTATTACTTAGAGAGTTGCATTAATTTATATATTTTATTAAATAGAAAGCTGCGATGATATATAACTTATTAATTAGAAAGTTGCGTTAATTTATATATTTTATTACTTAGAGAGTTGCATTAATTTATATATTTTATTAATTAGAAAGCTGTTTTAACTAATAACATGCGATTTTTTTATTTTTTACTTACGAATTAGAAAGCTGCGTTAACTTGTAATTTACGAATTAGAAAGCTACGTTGATTTAAAGAATACGTCGTTGAACAGATCCAATTTTTGTTTATGTATTCCACATCTTAGCCATCTTCTAACTGGTAGTCATATCCCCCACCCACTATAAAGTACATAAACAAAAACCTTACATTCCTCTTGACTACACCTACAGTAATAGTTGTTTGCTCAAGTGTTTTGTATGTTAAAATTAATGGATTCAATTTACTAAAGCCAAAGTTATTTAACCAGGATATACCAAACTTGTTCACAAGCATAGAAGCCTAAAAATAAGGCAGAAGAGGCACGTGTCCCCTCACCCAACTTTTTCCAGTTAGTGTACATACACTATTGTTAACAACTATATTAACTGACTTAGCTTTTTATTTGCCTTCCCTCCTCCTCCTCATTTTCCAAAAATATTAAGCAGCCATCTATACAGGTAATCAAAACATATGGATATACCATAAATATCCAGGTTTATCAAATAGATTAAGACGATCTTTGTAAATTAAACTATAACACGCGAATTTATTGACTTTTAAACAACATTATTTACGATAACCGAGCAAGTAACACGAGAGAACGTATTAATACTAGAAATAAACGTCCTCATAACACCAATTTTTTTTTTATATTTTACTATTGGACACTCAACGTTTAGCCTTACAGCTCCTTCAGGAGCGTTCCACTAAAACATAAACCCTTACAGTTAGTACCTCTAGTATATACCATCTTTCTCACAGACGTTAGGGATTGGAGCCGTGTAGCCACAGCGTGTTAATCTGTTTCATTTACCACCACGTTAAGGGATCTTGTGTATTACAGATGGGATCGGCGTGATTTCAAATCATGTAATTAGTCTGGTCAAAAAGTAACTCCTTTTTTTTTAGATGTACAACTTATTTTGTGGCTGCTATCAGGGGAATAACGGACTGTAGTATGAAAGAAATCGGACAAGCTAACGGTTTTTAATCGATTACACCAAATACCTCATGCACATACTGCCACTTACACCAAATATCTCTTGCACATACTGCCACTTACACCAAATATCTCATGCACATACTGCCACTTACACCAAATATATCCTGAACATACTGCCACTTACACCAAATATATCATGCACATACTGCCACTTACACCAAATACATCCTGCACATACTGCCACTTACACCACCTATATCATGCACATACTGCCACTTACACCAAATACATCCTGCACATACTGCAACTTACACCAAATACCTCCTGCACATACTGC